TAGCAAGTGCCTCCAACCTAGAAGCAATGGCCTCCAACCTAATGGCAATGGCCTCCAACCTAATAGCAATGCCTCCAGCCTAATAGCAAGTGCCTCACACCTAGAAGCGATGGCCTCCAACCTAATAGCGATGGCCTCCAACCTAATAGCGATGGCCTTCAACCTAATAGCAATGGCATCCAACCTAATAGCAAGTGCCTCCAACCTAGAAACAATGGCCTCCAACCTAATAGCAATGGCCTCCAACCCAGAAGCGATTGCCTCCAACCTACTAGCAATGACCTCCAACGTAGAAGAGATCGCCTCCAACCTAATAGCAATGGCCTCCTCCAACCTAATAGCGATGGCGTCCAACCTAATAGCAAAGGTCTCCGCCTCCAACCTAACAGCAATGGCCTCAAACCTAGAAGCGGTTGCATCCAACCTAACCTAATAGCAATGACCTCCAACCTAGAAGGGATGGCATCCGACCTAATAGCCATGGCCTCCAACCTAGAAGCGATGGCCTCCAACCTAATAGCGTTGGCCTCCAGCCTAATAGCGATGGCCTCCAACCTAATAGCGATGGCCTCCAACCTATAAGCGATGGCCTCCAGCCTAATAGGGATGGCCTCATTTGCATGTTAATGTATTGTATAGAATGCGGATCGACCAATTCTGTCGGTCTTGTTGTTGATGATTTGGGAGCCTCAGGGAATCTCTTTGGCTTATGTGTGCTTATGACTTATGAAATAATGTAAAGTTCTATGTTTTTCGAGGTTGGATAGTTCTGTTTTTTGGACCTATCTCAGAATACAATAGGAATGGATCATAGACCAAAGTGGTTAGTTTGGTGCTTGAGCTTGGTGCGTACTGATACCTTGTAGTGATTTTAGTTTCAGATATGTCTCTCTCGAGTGTTTTTTTCGCCCCAGCTTGTTTTTTTGTGTTTTCATGATTTTTCAGTCGAACGCTACAAATGGGTAAACAGAAGCAAAGCCCTATCCTGGCCCAGCACCCACTGTTTGGATCTGACACTGTGCTACAGTAGCGCAAGATGTTCAGATATGAATCAAGCCATGCAGCAGTCTGGAAGTAACCACTATGTTGGGCAAGTATGTGTAGGGTCAAAGCTTCTGGTGTTTGGATTGGTTACCCCTGGGATCCATGTGTTCAATGCGCCACTAATGCGTGCTCTTTGCAGCACAAGATTGAACCATACGAAGCCAGTGACACAAGGACCAAGGGCTCTGTGGAAGGGACTTGAAGCGACTCGAGAGCATCAAGACACCCCACCACCAGTGATTGGTCCGAGGCAGCCAGTGATTTGGCCAGCGCGGCTTTGGCAGAGAAAATCACCCGACTCTGAGCTGGTTTGCTCATGCCTTCCAAGATGATGGCCACTAGAATGGGATTAATCACGAAGCACCAGGCTAATACCCTGACGGATAGTTTCTTTGGAATTCTTCAAGGGACACTGTGATAGGTTGTTGGAGTTGTCTCGCACAAAGTACAGCAAGGGGCTCAGACTACGTATCTGTGCGGCGTGATAGAAAGTCATTGAAAAGTGTCACAAGTTCATGATTTGATGTTGGTCCAAGGAAAATTGGACCTGCATGTGTATTGGGTAGCACCGTTGGGAACTCCTGCACTGTTTCTCGATGTTGCATCCTCGAGAGGAGGAAAGGTTCGCGCAGCCATTTCCGGCAGAGATGATGCACAAGAGGACCATGGAAATGCATGTTTGGCTTCGATTAGCTGATTAGCTTGGGCATGCTTGGGCCATCTTACGCCAAGTCTTCAGAAGGCACAGCTTCATTGCCTTGTGCATGAACGGCAGTCCGCTTTGTGAAAACTTGGTGCTGAGGGATTCTCCACATCGACAACCTGTCCCCACCAGAGCATCCAAGCCCATAGCAATTTCTGTTCCTGTCTCCATGGCACTTGCCTTCACCTTGGCGCTTTCGCCTCAAAGCCCAGCGCTTCCCTCACGTGGGCCACCTGCAGCACGCAACTGTGAGGGCAGCACACGGGGAGGCTTTGGGTATCGGGGAGCTGCCGTGGGCTTCGGCCTAGCGCTGGCCTCACGTGTGCTACGGAGGGCAAAAGCTAAGGCAGTGAAGGAACTGCCGTTGCCTCCAGGAAAACCTGGAAATGCATTTCTGGATTTGATCAAGCATCCGAGCTGTTGAAGTTTCAGAAGGCTTCGATTACTTTCTTTCTCTTCTCTTGATCCCTCAAGCTTTTTGCAACTGTTTTGTTTGCCCTGTTCCTGATTCCCTGATGCTTCTTTGTGGGCCATTTCACGCTAGAGAGGTACATCAAAGATCCAGACGCCTACATCGCGGAGCAGGTCAAGCTCCACGGGCCAATCTTTCAGACCAACTACTTCGGCCGCAAGACGGTGATCGTGGGCGGCCCGGAGACCTGGCGAAGACGTGAGGTGACACTGGCGGTGACATCGTTTCGAGAGGAAGGTCGGGAGAAGAATTAGGGTCGGATTGGGGAACAGTGGATGTTTCGTGTCTATGTTTTGCAAGAATTTGGTGTCAGGGTTGAGGAAGGGCAAACATGTAGGACGGCACCATGATCAAAAGCGTCAGATAGTCCAATATCCACTCTGCTACAAGATAGTGGCATGCATTCGCAGCGACCATCTAAGCAAAGTCACGCAGTTGCAGAGGTGTTGTCAGAAATGTCTCCCTTTGGCAGAACCTGTTCGACCCACCTTGCAGAAGGGGTCGACCAGGAGGTTTCAACCGTATGATCTGCTGTGCTTCAGGGCGGTAAAGCAAAAACTGGCAAATCGTTGTTTCGAGTGATGGATGTTTGCCAAGGAGCTGGTGAAAGAGTTTATTGATGCTGAGAAAGTGATCACCAAGTCAGCCTTGCCCAACACCTTCTCTCAGCTGCACACAGAGCACCTTGGCAAAGACATGGCCCAGCGTTTACAAAAAGGTGCGGCTGTTTTGGTCACAGAGTGTGGGGTTATAAGTGGTTTCTTGTCTAGTCACTAGTCATTTTGAACGGTTTCTTTTGAACAGGTCCTCCTTTACTTGAAACAGTCCCAAGGTTTGTTCTGGACCGCAGTTGCCAGCATTTCGAAGGGTGTAGGAGTAGAAAGGAGGAGACTTCCTGAAATCGAAGGATGTAAAGCACCTCAAGCTACTATGAAGCCCTATCTACTAATATTGCAAATGCATGTTGAGCTCCAAGACAACCCTGCGCGAATTGGTGGTGGGTCCCAAATACTGCCCGATAAGAAACTGGTCACCTGCGGGGCCGGGGTGAACGTGGGCATTTGTGCATACCGGACACACAGGTATGGCACCATGAACCAGGCAGGGCGCCGCGGTGCGGAGGGAAGCTGTGACTCTGCAGAGGGGGCTGCAAACGGCTGCACACTTGCGTTGGAACAACTCAGAGTGCGCTGTTGGTGTAGTAGCAACAAGCTACTAGTATGTTCATTTTAATGCTAGGAGCTACTAGTAGCGTCTAGTAGCGACGCACCTTGCGACTAGTAATGATGGAGCGCATGACCATTTGCAAGGTAATTTCCATGGCCGCACCAGTTCGAGATACACCCCAGCAACCAGCCAGTTTTTGTTGAGCGGTGTTGATTGCATTTATAGTTACTGTATAAAGTATATATACTTATATAGTTTGTGTTGTCATTCGAGTGGTAGTTGGAAAGGGGCACAGACGCATCACCTGAAGCCCTCTCAATATCTCTCAATAATATTTGGTGCCACTGTTTGCTGCGCAGGAATGTGCAGAATAGTTCATTGCATGCGGTCAATCGTCCACTCAGTTTCTGCAACTCCCTGCCGTAAAGTGCTCCCCTTATTTTGCAGGACGCAATCCTACAACAGCTTGGCAACTACGCAGATGCTTCTGCTGGTTTCATCAATTCCCTTGTATGTATCTATATACAATATACAGGGGATTGTCACCCCAAAGCCTTCTGGTCGGGTGGCCTTTCCATATGTCACTCGATATGCTAGTTGGCCAGCAAAACATGTCACTGGCAAGAAGAGGGAAGTGTACACAGTACTGTCCAGCGTTGAGGCAGGGCCGCAGCACAAGTCCACACGAAGCAACCTCATCAGCGCCTCGCTGTGCCGCTGGGCTGAATACTGTAATGTGTTCTTTCATGGCTTTGAGAGGGGACCTGCAGGGGTTGAATTGGTTTCTGCTCCAACCAGCATGTCCTAGCAGCATTGAAGATGTGGGTGGGTTGGAACTCAGCGTTTGGATAGCAGTGGGTGTTTGCAGGTTTGCAGCAACCTTAACCACTGGGCTGCTCCCAAAAATACGCCAGACCATGAAGGAGGCAGAACTGAACAGGTGGTGAAGGTATTATGCGTGTTTCAGATACTGAGAAATGAGCCTATGAGTGACAAAATATGACAACATATCCTATATAGTTTTATTAAATGATGATTCCGCAGATCAATTTTGGAAGAAGATCTCTTCACCGCAGAAGAATAAACTACAATTGTGTGCGTACTTGAATTACAAAGTGGACATCTCTCCACGAAGTAGTTTGTTCTATGTTAGTTGGATGGGTGTCGTTGTTGAACCCTATATATGGGCCTCCCCATGGTGGTGTTTCCTCTACCGTTCGAGTTCTTCGCTTCCTGGGATGCTGGAGCCTTTGCTCTCAGGTGATGAAGCTATGCAAGCATTTCTTCCGGCCATTGAGTCGCTGAGCTGCAATTTGGCCACTACATTTAGACATGCAACTGTCCTTTGCACGAAAAGAATCCATGTTTCTTTGAGCAGATCCGCAAGAGGATAGTGTTCAGGCCTCATTCATTCGCTCATTCAGTCAAAACTCAATCATCATGGATCATGAGATCTCGGCTTGCTTATTCTGCTTCTCAGTGCTTAACGGGTGCGATCAGGCAACGATGCCATGAATTCGTGGAACATGTGGCAAAGAGGAAGAAGATCGCCCTAGCGAAAGAGCTCAAGGAGTGACGAAACGTGACCGTTGCCCTACAACTGGCTCTCGTGTTCATCGTAGTGGACCAAGGACCCCAAGAGAACACCAGCTTCCTTTTACAGAGGGGCCATCTTCCAATTCCAATTCGGAGGATCGGAGAGTTGTGACCCCTCAGCTAAGATTCAGTTCTTGTTGGACTTCAGTGCTGGTTTGGTACATCGCGGGTCTCATATGAGCTAGCATTTGTGCAATGATCAATCTCCAATCAGAGGGGACATACCGACCGACCGACCGACGGACAGACAGACAGACAGACACCTGCCTGCCTGCCTGCCTGCCTGCCTACCTACACCTACATGTACATATACATCTACATATACATATACACATACATATACACACATACATACACATACATACACATACATACATACACATACACATATACATATACATATACATGCATGCATGCATACATGGCTCAAGGCCTTCACCGCCACAGCCATCCACCTGGGTGAGGCACATTGCCCGTAATCGAGGGGGAACTCGACTACGGCATCATCTCTTCTTGCCCTCCTACCTGAACGGTACCTCAACCTCCGGGACCCTGTCAACGGCCTTGGTGCTTCATCCCTGTTTTGGACATAGGCCTGAACGCGTTCGGTGCCACCGCCTTTGCCCTTTTGCTTAGGTCGCCCAATCCTGTGGACTGCATCAGCATCCGGACCAATGACATCATCCAAAACTATGACCTCCCATGGAGGACCGCCACCAAGAAGTCCTCATGAAGCATCCACCTGGACTCCCAAAATGGCCGCAACTCAAACGATCCAAGGCTCACAAGGAAGCCTCTGAGTTCCTCACCTCCACATGGACTACAATCCCGGCAGAGGTGCAAACCAAGCTGCAGGACTCCAAGCCGGAGGAACCCGAGTTGACCGACCTCCTTAAAACACACATTGATTGTGAACAAGCTCACCAATTCAGAGCCAAGCACGGAAAAAGCCCTAGCCACCAAGCTCAAGACCCAAGTGCCGGAAAACCGCCCTTCAAGGAAAACTGGACAGCACGAAAGCGCAGTTCCAAAGCATGCTCCAGGACATGCAAGAGCTTCAGACCAAGATCACTGAAGGCCAAAGCGCCCTCAAGACCATCTGATGACTACATGAAGGCCGCCAACCAGACACCGGCCCCAAAGGAATTGAATGAGTCTGCCATGGAGGTTGATCACCTATCGGCAGAAGTTGAGGCCTTTGTAACCAGCCTCGAACCAGCTCCACGGGCTCTTGAAAAGGCCAAGCCTTGAAGGTGACGACATAGCTGTGCCCAAGGCAGCCGGACATTGTGGGTAACACGACCACAGCACCCACCGCAACACTTCCGGGGTTTTCTGTTCCAGCCCCTGCGGATGACTTTGATTTCTGTGGGGACAAGGAACCTTTGGTTTTGAATGGATCTCCAACCAGGTTTGCCGTGCTGCACCTCCTGGCTCAGATTCGCGGTGCGTTTCAAAAGGGAAACCTGCGTTGATGGCATCGTCACCAAACACCATGGGCTCATGGCCCGTGTCGAGTTACTCGGTTATTAGAAGGCTTCAGCCGGGCTGCTTCTGACGCCATCAAGGCGCTGATCATCTCACGGGGTCGTTATTACGCCATCCTTGTGTACCGACTGGCTGATGATGGACAAGCCCCGGCGCGCCTGCCGTTTCTAGCTCTTACATATGTGCTGCGCCCCTTGTTCGGTCGCGCATCGATCGGCATCGAGAAAACTGAGGATCACCCGATTCGAACTGACCGTCCCGCAGGCAAGACGGGGTCTGGCGACGCCCCGTGAGGCGGATGAGCGTGGAAAGCTCCAAGAGCTTTTCGCGCAAGAGCCGGGACATCGGTCCCAACAGGCTGTCAGACCAAAAATTTCGCCACTTGAGGGCGCTGAAGCGCCGGCATCATTTGAACGACGCGGCCTTGCGCCCGAGTGCGCGAAATCGCCGGGCACAACCGGGCGACTCGTTGTTCCGTGCCAACGGGACGCTAAAGGCTGCACCGCCATGTTGACGCGTCCGCTGTCCCAGGCCGGGGGCGCGCAACGCAGGCAGCTCGTGCCCGGTGTACGGTCGCCTTGCAGCAGAACATGGGGAGGGCTCCGATGAGTTTTTGCGATCCATGCTGGGTGAGGGACCGTTTCGTCCACAGTCCAGGCCAGGTTCTCATACTTAAACGCCATAAGTCGAGAACACGGACTGGACGTCCCCGACGGACCTTTGCCAGAACCCCTGGCCAAGGCAAGGTGGCGAAAGAATTTTTGCTCTTTCAAACAGCACTGCCAATTTCCCGGAAAGGGGTGCCGCATATCAAAATGTGTCCCCAACCAACACACGACGGCCGATCAAAATATGCCGTCTATTTTACTTATTCTCAGGCACCCTTGGAGCCACCCATCATTCTCATCACGTGCACCAGGCTTAATAGTTTGTTACTATGCAACCAGGAGTGCCTGATACCTTTGGTGCAATAGCACAACACTGGCTCAAACAAACAGTTTCACAGGACTTTTAGCACTCTGGCCCCACTCTGGCGGGGGTGAGGTTCCTGCGGGGCTATTCTAGAACAAGGTCCGGCTCTGACTCGGGCGGGAGGGATAAGAAACCTATTGAGTGGAATCCTAGATTCAAAGGAAACAAAATTCTTTGTTTGTCTGATTCCCGGGCCCGGGAGCGATAGAACTTGGTAGGACTTCCAAGATCAAGGTCATTTAAGATCTTACAAATCATCTATACAAAGCAGGAAGGACAAAATGAGGCAAGAACGACAGGGCGACCAAGGAGGTCGTGTGGGATGGTGGGTTTCGGATGGCATTTTTGGGCGCCAGATCAAAAGCTGCAGTGTTATTATAAGTGCCAGAATGTTTTTTGAGTGAGCCTTTTCCTCTTGCACGCGACTGTTTTTTGTGTCCAGCCCATACCTTCTAGAAGTTCAATCCTGCACAGCGGTGAAAAGTTAAAATTCATGGCAACTCTGCCTTTGATCTGCACTTGGATTGCACCACCTTTGAGTTTCATTCCCTTCAGCCGCTTTCACTATCCCAACCATGTTACGGGCTTTGCAGACCTCTTGCTTTGAACGTTATCAAAAAAAACAAACGTTTTTTTCCAAACAACTCACCACGGTCAGAATAATTTTCACGAAATGAGGTCGAGGTATAGCGGCATACCAAGCAAATACTTTGGTGTACCCTTACAGCGTTCCTACCTCAAAGCACAAGGTATCCTACATACCTACATACCTATATACCTATTTATGTGCGTGCGTAGATACGTACATACGTACATTTACAGTACGTTGACACCTGGAGTGTACTTCAGTATTTCGTGCTGAAACCGTGATATCGTTTTGAAAGACACAAAATAGAGTGACATATAAAGTGACAAGTAAAATGATGGTATGACTGTTGAAGGGATTCCTCTCAAGATGGTGAGTGGTACAAATGTGGACGATTTGAGGATCTCATCCCATCCACTGCTGCGCTCGATCGATGGTCTCAGGAGTCTCCAGCGTTGATCGATCTCGATCGACGCGGCGTTGAGCCGTCCGAGATGAGACGCCAGGACTGGAGTGTGCTGCTTTTCTCCGAACTCTTCTGCGGTGAAGCCTTTGATGCGAAAGACCTGGATCTGCATCTCGGAGAAAAATTGATACCCAAAAAAAAGCACTCACAGCCATGTGCAGAGAGAGGTTTTTTCAGTGGTCCAAACATGTTCAAACTATATAAAAACGAAAAGCGATCATCGCAGTTCGCTCCAATGAGACACCCAAGAATAGCTTTGGTTCTCAAGGCTTTACCAGTACAACGAGGGCCTCTTTGGACTCCTGGTTTGAAAGTGGGCGAAGCAGGAGGGAGCTGCTGCCGCCAGTGCTTGTGACTACCAAAAAATGAAGTTCCGGTTCGCAGAACAATGTTGGTAGACTCAAAGGAGGGCCTAGGGCCCACATGGCAAACCTGACTTTCAACACCCTAAAGGTGCAAGAGTTCTTATGGCGCTCAGGAGAAGATATCTTTCAGTGGAAAATATGCGCACTACCAACACGGGCAACTGCAAACCCATCGTCCATGTTTTTCCGGCAGGGATCCATTGCTGTTGAAACAATTTTGTGGATCACTCGTGCCCAAATGCCCAACATATGTGTGGACGTGTAGTTGGCAAAGGGCGAGCAAAGAGTTGCAGGGGTCATGGCCATGGGATGTTTGTGCAGACCAAGCGAGTACGACCCTCTCAAGAAAGAAAACAAACAAAGCGTTGCCGCCACGGAAAGAACCCTTTTGGAGCCCCTGTTGGGGAAGCAAGAGAGGGCATCCGAAGCTTTGTGGACTTCGCCCCTTTGTGTCACGACTTGACCAACTTGGATTTCGGCTGAGAATGTTGACCCGTTGAGACCTGGATGACATGACCCATTGAGACATATTGAGATTGTTTCAAGAGGTATTTCTGGTCAACTGGCAATTTCTCCGCCCCAAATGAGCCAAATCGGCAAAAAATCCACACCCATTTCTTTTATGGTGACCTCAAGGCCTCAATACGTGTCAAGCGTGTGCATTTTGTAGAGTCTTTTTGTAGTAAGCAAAGATTATACAATATGTAGGATGGTTTGGGCAAGGTCATTCTGTAGTTAGTGTTTCTTGCTTGATGTAATATAAAATGACTTATATATATATATATGACTTTATGGACATTCAAATTGTAGAGATCGGAGTCTTGCTGGTGAAAGGCCATGTTGCCATTCCAAGAAGCATTGCAATGGATGGCTAAATTGTAGTGTGTTCATTTTGCTGCTCCATTTTGTGGCCAGGTTAAATACTTGTATTTTGTAATATGCAATTCTTCAGCCAAAGTTCCAAAATCCCTGACACTCCGGATCAAAGCGCTCCCACGTAATCCATGACTTGCAAACGTTTGGAAAGACCGCACCGAGGCCTCCTGCCCTTCAAGCTGCCTTTCACGGCCTTCGGGCGTGGCTTCAAAGCCAAGGATAAGCTGGTGCAGCTCTTGATGGAGAAGATCGATGCTTGGCCCCGTACCAGGTGCGGGGTACAGGATTGATTTGATTTGGTGTCCAATCAGGTCGACATAGAAGGTTTGAATATGTCAGAATCTATGAACTAGTAAACGTATGTGAACATGAAAATATGCGAGAGCAGATCGTGGTGGATTGGCTCCCCACTTTGAGGCCCTTCAGGAATCTAATGAATCTATCGGAGGTGGAAATGCCAGAGCCTGGAATCGGCTTCATGCACCGATGTTGCCAGCAACGGAAAGTCACTGGTGATCTAGTGGGACAGCCGACAGACACATACAGTAGTCTTGGCATTGGGCACCTGCAAATTCCAAAGGCAATGTTTCCATATCTAGCGAAGACGGGAACTTTGTCTTGCACTCATGGCTGAATTTTTGGTGGTGAAAGATTGAGTTTCGGCTGCTCAAGGTTGATGGGGGGTATTGAAGCATAAGGGCTTGTCATTTCGAAACGAGCACCTGCTGATGCAGTGCAGCACGTTGCTTTTGTAGAGACAATCATGCCACCTGCATGTGTGTGTGTGTGTCATGACATGCAACATCAATGTCAATGACATGATGTCCTTGCTGAATCTTTTCGCGACCTCCTGCTTCGAACCATTTCCGACCACCAAAGCATCTCACAACCTCCCCCAAAGAAAGCCCACATCTCTCGGACTTAGGAAGCCTTGAAGGCTAGCGGAGACATGGAGAAGCCTCAATATGCCGCCCAGCAGCATGATGTGGCACAAGAGCCCACGGCGGAAAAGACCAATGGCGGTCGGGTTGGGTCCAACTGTCAGTAGATTATTCTTGGGAACTAATATCCACCCTCAGAGCGATGGCCTCCAACCTAATAGAATGGAACAAGCTCTCTTCTGAACATGCTATAACTGTGCAGGACAAGCAAAAAGTACAACGAAGGGATTCGAAGAGCGCAGGAAAACTGTTCGGTCTGGAACAGACTTAGATGTAGAACCCATTTGGACACTTACAGTAGATATTGTGAAGCGATGTAAAGCTTTGCAAGCTCATCATGGCACCACCTGCGTTGTAGGGATTGTAGAGTGGTCTCAATCGAGCATTCCTTGCTACCTGTGCCTAAGGAGACGTCAAAGTAAAAACTCTTTTCAAGTAGAGGTGGATAGTGAGGTGGATCTATACAGAATGTGTTCTAATTATTGTGTTCTATTGACATCTATCTATCCATTGTTCTTCTTATCTTGTTTGTCCATTTGCCGATCTATGATCTATTGTAGTTGTTTGTTTGCTTGTTTGGCTTGTATCTTTTTCTCGCTATCAATATCTTGTGTTGGCTGCGACTTAGCAAGCTCGTTTGTCTATATAAGTAGTTTTAGTTGCAGAGCTGGAGGTGACGTTTGTTGCAGGGACAACCTTGGGGCTGACAGCCGTTTTTGGCACATGGTACCATGCGTGACTGGCTTTTAAGAACCATGTAAAAACAACAACATACACCTAGGGATCGACGTGTGCAGTTTGCTAGGGATCGACGTGTGGACTCCGATGACACCAACTCCCACGGCCTGCTCTTACAAAACTTCTACAGGAAAACGTCTCCCTTTGACTCTCCTTGACGGCGCTGTGTGAGGCAGTGCTGCGCCGTTTGAGCAACTCCAAAGATGAGAACGGTCAAACCTGGAGTGCCTTGGTAGACCGAGCCCGAAAGCCACAGAAACATTGCCACGTTTCAGCGGATGTTCAAATGGTGTTCATTGGAAGCAGAAATGAAAGTCGGCCTTTCGAGGACAGGGCATGATGGGTTGGTTCCTTCGACGTGATGGTCCAAGGCACTGAACATACGGCTCACTCAGCAGTGATCTCAGTTTGGGGTGCCTATGTCGAAGCTTTGATGGAAAGGTGCTGGGTCGAGCGAGTTGCTTTTGCGTGGGCACGCAGGAGGCAATGGAAAATGGAATTTGCTTCTCAAAAGGGACGTGTCCAGCGATTTCGAGCCTGTTGCCTTGACGGTAGCCGAGGGTCCCAGAGTGCACAATTGTTGCTTTCCAAATTCAAAGTGGTCATGAGCGGTCAAAGTGGGCTTCCAGGGTCTTCAGGGGCTATATGCCATCCCTGCACATCATAACCCCAATGGACCCAGATTGATCTCAAGGGCTCATCGCCTCGAGGGCTGGCTTGGTGCACTGGGATTCTCACCAAAGACCAAAGGGTGGGCCGAGCTCGGCCTAGAAAAGAGTTAAATCGAGATCTGGAAGACGCCAGGTGTTTGACTTGGTGGAGGCAAGGCTTACAGTTTGCAAGAAAGGCGATCAATGAGGCGTATGTGGTGAAGAAACTGTGATCCCTCAGAGCTTATGTAGAGAGTGGCAACAGAAGTTTAGGGTCCAACCCCGATGTGCAGTGCTCAAGTTTGGACAGCTCCTGCTGTATTGGAGTGCGCAATCAATCTCCATTACAAATCCCGAAACACCTTTGAATCTTTTGACAATAGCACACAGCAGCTAAAGATGTTTTAAGGTCCATTGTAAGAGATTCCACATGTTGAATCAAGCAGCATTTACGTTGTCGTTGTGATTGTGGTTGTGGTTGTGGTTGTTGTTGTTGTTGCTGCTGTTGCTGTTGCTGTTGTTGTTAACAGAGGGATACAGTACCAGTACTTTAAAAGTGCAACAGCTACATACTACAAAAGGTCCACCTTGGAATGACCAGCTTGATAGTTGATGGATCCCTTGCAACTTCCTCCACAGTGTTTGAATCAACTCAAAACCCAAACCTACAGACTGTTGCACCTTTGCTCGATGAGTGATATGATAAGATCAGATCATTGCTGTGAATTGACCTCATGTGAGCAGTTTGTCCACCACTGGGGTCCCAGTCATACTCATCTTCCGCACCAAGGAGGTGGCCTCCCTCCTCTCCAATGCCATTCGCTTGTTATCCCTCCACAAGGCGGCACTTGCACGGGCGGCGCAGGAGGCGATGGAGAGCAAAAGCCAAACTGAGTGCCTCAGCAGTGAAGTTGTTGCGAAGTGATACCTTGATCGGGGTTCACTCTTGTCGAACAAATAGGATCAAACACAGGATCGAATAGGGTGATTTGGAGTCAATTGAAAGATTGCCAACCCCCAGGTATTTGCAGGCGATCCTGGACGAGAGCCTCCGTCTTTTGCCACCGGCAGGGGGCGGCTTTCGGCTAGCTGAGGAGGATCTGAACATAGGCGGGGGGCAACCTCCATAATGTGTGAGGATTTGTGGCCGATGGAACAGGGCGAATTCTGCGGACTAGAATGCAGCAAATGCACCTGGTCGACTTGCACTTTAGTTTTGTGGGTAGACCACTTCACATTGTTCAGCGAATGTGTGTGAATAACTCAAGTTGTGCCAGCATGTTACAACAGATTGTGACAGATTGAGTATTTCTGGGCTGTTACCGTTTCCATGAGGCCATGAGACTTGATCTAAAAAACAATAAACAGGTCCTGGAAGATTCGCCCAAGTCACCATGTGTCCTGGGACCCTAAACGGCACCTAAGGATCACCTCTCTCCACGAATGAGGCAGGCATCAAGGCTAACTACCTTTCCTGCAGCTTTCATAGAGTCCTGATTCTGGTGCGTCATAGTGCTTGACTCTCAGCGCTCAAAGACTTAAGGGCCCTGTCCTGCATACTCTTGCAAAGGTCCTGACGACCGTACACTGCACTAGAACGTTGAGCAAAACAGCTTCTTGACCCTTCACATTGCGTCTGTTTCCTGAGGTATGGGTTATGGGACCCTGCAATTTTTTTCTTGCTGTTTTTGTTTCATAAGCTTGTTTCATACCTCTGTTTTCTCAGGATAGGTTCCTTATGTGTCTCCATCCTTCAAGATTCTTCATGCCTCCATTTCTTGATTGTTTGAAGCTTTAAGTTGGTCATTGCTGAGACCCAAGAGCCACCAATGAAGCCAGCAATCAAACTTTCTAGCATCGCTCCCGATGCCCGCTCCTCGACAGGCGGCTACCGGGTGCCCAAAGGCTTCGTGGTGTCCGCGGACCCGCGGATCTCCAACCGAGACCCCGAACTCCATGCAGACTCCGCAGCTGGGACCAAGTGTGAGCTGACACAAGAGGAAAATACCGTTTTTGTGGACGTCCTTTGGCATGTCATGTGTTTTCTACTTGGAAAGCTTGACCTGATGCAGGTTTCGGGTCCACCTACTGTACCAAATCGTTTTGTTTGATGTGTTTGATCTTTTGGAGAGAAACTTCTTTGCTTCAGAAATCGATTGGGAGGCTTGCGGAACAGCGGGGCAACGGAAATCGGATCCAAGATACTATATATATATACTGTATATATATAAGTACACATAAGTAAAATAATTACCAAGGGAGACCCTAGGGCTATCGCAGTGTGAGAGGCAGATCTGTTGAGTCGCAGGATTCTCTTGGGAAATTTGCAAAGGTACAGTAATTGTTTGTTTTCCGGTGGATCTACCAGATGTGTATCATATATAGTAAATATTATATGTATATATTATATATATTATATTTATATAGTCTTCTCCAAAATTCTATCGTATGGTCCCCACTTGACACTTGCGATTGCTCCAGGATAGTTTCAAGCCCGAGCGATTTCTGGAGAGGCGAGGTCGGACCAGCAGACACGGCGAGGTCGGACGCTATCGTTTGGTTTGGGAAGATAGCAAGCCGCTAGAGGTAGCTAGTAGTAGCTAGGTTTTAGGGGGGGTAGGCCGTAGAGGGAGGTAGTGGCTAGAGGTAGCTAGTAGCTTAAGTAGCTACTAGCATGGACGCAGGACAGCTCACGCTTCTTAAAGGAAAGGCGGCGGGGGGGCTTCCTTGAAGAAGCGCTCGCACTATTCACTTGGTTCCTAGATTTTTAGGGAAACCTAACTTGAATGAAACAAAAGGAATCGAGTCTACACATGAAAGGACAATTTTTACGATTATGTATTCGATATAGTGTCATGCGTCCATGTCTCTCGCAGCAAATCAAAGAAAGGATGGAAGCACCCTGCAGACGTCCACTTGCGATTTGGAGTTCCTCGGCTTCCTTTGACACTACCCAGGAGTCGATCATCAATCCTATTGATTCTGTGCACATTGGACATGTATTGTGCACACAGTTATGCATAGATGACGCAAGACCTACCACAACAACTGGCATTCTTCCTGGTCTTGAAGACTCCAGTGAACGGCTATCACCCGCCATTCCTTCGGCCCAATACAGGCCGACGCGGCAAATGCCCCAGGGCAGCTGGTTCCCCGGGGGCATCGGCCTGCACGGCTGTCCGGGCATTCCTTTGGCCATGCTAGTTTCCAAGGTGAGCAGAAGAAAGGGCCAGTGGGATTGGGCGAAGTAGGCTGCGCACTAGCTTCTGACGCAAATGTTTGTGCGTGGGTCACCAAAACGATTGATAAGTTTGGGATAGTTTGGGTGCAATCCAAAATGCTAGAATGACCGTTTAGAGAAATGTGCGTCAAAGGCGAGAGATTGCGGAAGGTCACAGGAACGCATCATGAGGAAGAATGGCCAACGACTGTGTTCGGGCTTCATGGAGACTTCACAGTGTATCGCCATTAGGTTGGAGGCCATCGCTAGTAGGTTGATCTTTTTATCGGCGACCTCAGAAGAACGTCCTTTTGTTTGGTCCGTGTGACCGTTGCAGGTCTTCTTGGGCACCTGGTTACGGCGGTTTAAGGAGTGGCGTGCGGTGAGCAGCAAGGTGCGCTGTTTGGTGATGCCTTTAATAGCGCAGCGTGTTTCTGCGGATCTTGGGACTTAGAAACTTAGGTATGTAGCATGAACATCCAAGATCTTTGTGGCCAAAATCGGGATTCAGCCTTTAAGAAGCATTTCTAGGCTGACTTCGTGACCATTCCCATCCGCATCTTGGGGGACAAGTATGAAGTTGAGGTCAGTCCTCGATAAAGCTGCTTGGATGTGACTCAAGAAACGGAAGGGGATGGTCCTCGGATGGTGGAAATCAAAGACGCTTAAAGGTTATGTGGGAATGTGCAGGACAAGATATGGGAGACTCCGCCAATTGTCCACTCAACTGTTCTCACAGCACAATCATTTGATCATATTTGATCCGTGTGCCATATTTCATAGAGACCTCTATGTCGGCTTGAAAAAGAATATAACCTACTGCGGGTCTAGGATCCTTTTCCAGACTAGATTGCGCATAAATGTTGATGCTGCCTTCGCATGTGATCACTGCATTGGTCTTAGTCTTGGTCCATGCTTTTAATGTTGTTCTCTGGTGGAAGGGACCTAGACGTGCATGACACGTCTACAAGTCTGAGACCACAGTGGCCACCTTTTCCCGCTTGCAAAATGATGTTGCGGATCATTGCAAGTTCTGACCCTCTGATGGTTTGAGGCTCTCATCCAGTGGCGAACAAGGTCATCCTCCGCATGGGACATTCGGATATTCTGCATTGACCTTCGGGGGGGGATTATATTTTCCACGTCAATTCCGGCACAGATCATTGTGGTGACCGATGAGTGACCAAAAGTACTGGGTACGGCACCAAAACGTTTGGCACCCACCATTCGTGTGTAGAATCTTGAGTCGTGAGTCAACAAAACGAAGCTGGTGCTCCAAAACCGAGTACCAGCTGCCGATCCAAATGCCAGTTTTTGATGCTGAAGTACCACGAATGCATGAGCCAAAGGACGTTTCATCGAAGAAGCGAGGCAAGGACAAGGTAAGCATCATTCCTGGAAGATGGACCGTGATTCCGTTCCCATCCGTCGTCGAATAAGAAGTCACCATAAGTCACCCTTTGAGAAGGAATATCATCAACCCCGATGCTCTTGTGAGCTCAGGTGGCATTTGCAGCGGTCAAGTGACCAGTAGACGAGAAAGACAAGAAGAAACTATCTGAACCTCTCAGCTGAGGAGAGCCAGGAGATCACATGACATGCTTTGGGTAGGAGAGCCAGGGAGCCCGAGGTGTGAAAAAAGCGGTGGAAGACAAAGAAGGCAAAGCTGCAGCTGGAAGTTCAATCAAGCTGTTTCTTGGCTTTTCTTTGGGTTGTCTGCTTGGATGGGAACTGGATAGGTCATCCCAATGAATAGACGATCTCTCCTTGCAATGAAACATGTTCATCAGTCCATCAGTCCATATCAGTCCTATAGACTTGATATAATATGGGGCGTTGATCCTTTGCTTTTTGGATTGTATATTCCCTCGATTGTGTGGCTTTTTGGCTCAGCTTCAGATCGGTGTCACAGCGATAGACACCAAACGACCGAAGGACGAGGGGGTATAAATTAGACCCTGATTATTTGAATTCTATTCCATAAAGGTGCAGGAAGGAATTTGCAATCTTTAAGGATCCCAATCTGTCGAGCATCGGAGCTTTACGCCCGTGTGAGATGTTCTTTTGAAGCGTTTACACCTCAGACCTGAGATGCCAGACATTCGCTCACTACCCCAGTCAATCCCATACTTTACCTCCACAAACTCTTGACACGATTCCCAGGCAGAGGCTTCCCAGCTTAGTCCCAAGATGTCCCAAGTATTTGTGATTTGCAAGCAGAACCACGACAAGGCGGGCCAATCAGAACAGAACCAAGTTTACCAAAGCCCCCTTGGATACATCCTGCTCACTCCCGTGCCACGCTATGCGGCAGCCGCGGGGCAGCACGGGGATTGTGATGCAAATCCTCTCGCAGCAGCATTCTGGGAAAGTTCTGAGTGTTTGGGTCCGAACGATCCTTTCGCTGAGGGCTGGCTGTGATTCAATGGGTGTTGGCTACAACTACTAGTAGCAAGAAGTTACTAGTACCAAGTGCATTACTAGTAGCAAGAAGCTACTAGGAACAAGTGCATCGCTACTAGTAACAAGTGCCCTGATTCGTCCATCGGATCCAACATCCGAGGCGCCGCCCTTTGCCACAACCGGATGAAGGACTTGATTGACGTTGGCTGCTGTAGGTCTCAGCTAGATACGTGGCATTGGGATACGTATCATTCATCGTTGAAACCCTGCAGAGGAGGGACACGCGGGTGGTGAAATTTGACACATGCAGGCTCATGCTCGTACCCTGAGAAGGTCTGAGTTTGTACTTTCGGTGGGTTCAGCCTCCAGTCGAATGCTATCCTAAACTAACAACCAAGCTACTGGTTCCACGATCCACGTAGTTTTATTCGATGTTCTCAGCCATCTCGGCTCCAAATTGGAGCAAGAAGGTGTGAGAGATGGCTTCTTTAGGAAGAGTGCCAAAGAAATCCATCATCTCAACAGCTACGCTACAAATAGTTATCGAGCTTATGGCACATTACTGTCGCTAACTGAGTGGTGTTCTGATTGATCTTTAAGTGACTCCCCACCACTTGAGTTTTAGCCAGCGAAATATGGTCGATGTTTGGGCATGTCTCCCAGCACCACACCAGGCTTTGTTCACTGTAGGTGACCCCACTCATGCTCAGGCGTTCCATGACACTGAGTTCGTTGAACCACGCTGAAGTCAGTTTGAGGGGGCCGGGTATTTCCAGTTCTGGAGAAAAGTCTCCGTGCAGGAGGAGAGGTGGACCCTGCAGAAGTGCGGCGGAGAGCCAAACAGCAGGAACAGGAGGTGCCGGAGTCCTTTGCATGTCACAGTTTGGATTTTTGGGACCAAATCGGGGGAACATGCTCTTCTAAGAAATGCGCTCGGTTGCTTTTTACTGCGATGGTGACATCTTACACTTTGACCTATCCTAGTGAAGAAAAGATCCATCAGGATCTCAGAGATACCAAAGACTGCAATGATTCAAAAAGGTGTTGCTGCTGACTCTGACATGCTCAAGTTAGTCTTCGGACTCAGATGGCACCCTATGTGGTGGGTGCAGTGCTCTTCATCGCCTTGGGGGTTGCTGGACTGGTCACATGGTCCGGGGCACCTGAAACATGGGTTGGGGGAACGGGAGGTAGGCGCTGTATCGAATTGTCCTAGAGTTGCCCAAAGCTAAAAAGAAGAGATGAAGAAAGGAAGGTAAGGCCCTTTTATACAAAGAGGGCCACCTTCCTGTCCTTGTTCATCGTTGCTTTCCTTTAATGTATATGCAACCACTCAAAGTGTGAGTTTAGTGCAAGATTCGGTTGATCAAGGAACCCATGGTTTCAGACAGTCAATTCTGCTCAGGTGGCATCCCAACATCTCCTTCCACCGAGCTCCTGTGAGCAAGCTCGACATGGAGAAGGAGGAGGTGCGGAACGGAAAACACTGTGAAAGCAGATGGGCCAGTGCTTCCCCTCGCTTCAGTCATACCATTTGTGAAACAATGAATATTGAACATTTGGGCAAATAGACGCATAGACTCATAGACGTCTTGAATTTTCACACATTCTTCCACAACGCAAGGCCGGAATCCTCAAGCTCTGTGCGTTTGTAATGGTTTACATCTCTGCCTTGCTGGGCAGTTGTATTTTTACGATGGATTAAAGGGATTGGTAACACAAACACACCCACTGCCATAGCCTCTGAGGTGTTAGCCCACCTCCGAAACCACACCATCTTGCACGTGGGCGGGGTGTGTGGGGGCCAAGCAAGTCAGTCGTTGGTGGAGGGTCAGACAGAGACACGGTGAAGCACCTCCGAAGTTGTGACATCTCCATGTGGTCATGAAGTGGTTCTCTACCCAGGGACAATTGTATCCCTAAAATGGTCTCCACGAGGTCCTACCACTGCGAGTTTGTAGTGTTCGGTCAACCACCGCAATAAACCTCGAAAAAGCAAACCCGGACAAGAGAAACACGGGTGGAGGCATCAAGACTGTGACTACCCACACAGGAAAAGACTAACTCTGGCAATGCCAAGGTCTCCAACTGTTTTGAGAGTCTGGAAGCATCACAATACCACGCTAGAGACTCTCAGGCAAGGCCCTTCTACTGTAATGGGTTCTTTTTCTTCATTTGCCCACATTAGTCACGAAAGCTAGCGAAGCTAGCTGGAGTTACTCTTGCGATAGCAAGGTTTCTTTCGACCGGGTGCAAATCCTAACCCCTGATTTTTCAGGTCGAAGACCCCCCCCC